CGAAACCGGTCGTGCGCTGTCGAAGAGTTTTCAGCAACCTTGTGAGTAGTTTCCCTTATGAAAAAGATACTAATACCTATTCGGCCCACGCAAGTACACTTCCACTTTCCTGCAGTTTCTAGCGAAACTTGAAACTTCATAATCGTCTACACGGTGAACTTTTCCAATTGGTCGTAATTCCCCGTTATTTGTCCAGAAATAACTCAAGACAAGGTTGCGCTTTTTGAGTGAACAACTGTCTGCAACCGGAACATGTAGTTTTGCTTGGTTATTACTTGTCATCGAAGATAGCCTGCTTCCAAAAAGTAGGTGGAGCGGTAGAGCGACCCGGTCTCGAAGTTGTTTGCATTTCTGTAGGCGGACTGTTTTCCAATAAATGTGTAGTAACATGCAACTATTTGTGGCTAACGTAATGCTAGATTTATAGCCTAACCGACAACCTACACACCGACGTACTAGCTACCAAACAGTCGCGCACGCAACGATGCCGAAACCTCGACAGGCGAAGAGAAGTTTTCAACCAGAATGTTCCAGCTCGGCGAGCAGAACCGTGGAAGCCTACTTCAAAACAACTATAGGCAATAGGGAGGTGAAGACAAAACGGGAATCTTATCATATGGCTGGGCGAAACACTAGTACACAACTGGTGGTCTTCGTGGTCTCATACTACTGGCTGCGAAGTTACCGTTGAAAGACAACTGGAAGCAAGCCGTTCAGGTGAGCTTCTTGGATAGTCCGAAGCTGTGCAATACACCAGAACTAATAGTGAAAGAAAGAAGGCCTTCGCTGCGGTGTTGTTTATTAGAAAATGCCAACTGAACAGTTACAGACTATTGGACAGCGAAGCAAAAACTCTCATAGCATCTTGTTGATAAAAACCGGATATCCACCTTCTCCTTGAACGCGTGAGTACTTTCTTCAAAGATGTGATCCCAGATCTTCAGGAATAACTGATGAAAAACTTTGGTGGAGTAGGGAACTTTTATGACGAAGCGATTGTAAACAAACTATTTGTTAAAAAAAACAGGATAATGGATGTTCGGTCAAGGGAAGATAAAGACGAGTCATGTGGGCACTGTGGCGTCAGGAACCAAAGAAATGAGACAGTGGCGTCCTAATAGCATGGCCTCTCTACTTACCGTATTTGTTTCCTCAGTCTCATCTGAAGTTTGAACAACTGAGCAAGCCGAGAACTCATGATGGTCACCCTTCAAGAAAAGACAGTATAACCAACACTGCGCGCACCAGGTTTGTTAAATTCATTTGCAATTAGTAAACCGGCACACGAGTGTCAGTAAGTTTCCAAACCGTAAATTGTTTGATCAACCTTTTATAGATAAACTGAAGATATGTGACTCCAGTCGGTTAAACTTGGATTTAACGTAGGTTGTGCGGCTATAGGATACAAATAACTAATCAACCAATCGGAAATCGCCAAGGATTGATCGAGAATTCTTCGTTTCAGAGCAGGCTGAGAGATAATCGATAGATTTATTGCTCTGCAACGTCTCGTTTTTTGGCGTACAAGTTCTACCAAATCAAACGACCAGGATACAAGTTTGGCTGAGTTGTAAGGTGCACGGAGAACTAGTCGGCAAAAGCATAACCGAAGCTCCTCTGAAGCGATGAGTTCTCAATCAGTTCCAAACTTTTTCCGTATCTGAAGCAGTAGTTATAAGTGTGGGTTAGTGTGAATGGATGCACCGAAGAGCCAGAGGTATTAACTTGCATGAATTTGGGTCGGGTTTTGAAGTTTGATCTTTCTAGTCCGTATCGATCGAGGTGAAGAACATGTTGAATGTGGTTCGAAACTTTAGTAATTTGTGCTACGACAGGTGGGTTGGCTAAAACAGGTTTTCGTGAGGTTTCTGGGCCTTGGACCTAGATCACCTTGAAGGATTGTTGCACCTCTCACGTGTCAGCTCGGGCAATCTAAAACAACGGTCCAGATGCTCACCAGCTATAAGTCCTCTACTTGACACAAGCCGAAATTGGGCCTTGGACCTAGATCACCTTGAATAATTGTCGCACCTCTCACGTGTCAGTTCGGGCGACCTAAAACAACAGTGCAGATGCTCACCAGATATAAGTCCTCTACTTGACACAAGCCGAAATAGTTGACTGTTTTCTCTGCCTAAGGCACCAGTCGCTGTTCTGTGAAGCATAGTTTTACACTAAAATCCGTCCTGTGTCTAAGTCATCTTCTGCAGTCTCCAAGTTTTTGACTGTTGCCTGATATTCATCTGTCCTTATTGGTGGTCGGTCTGTCCTGTTATTGGGCTCATTAGTTCGGATGCGTAGTTCCCTTACCGTCTGTCTTGGACAGTCGTTCCCTAGTCCTCTCCCGGCTTCACTAATACTGAGCAAAACGTTTCCCCTCTCTAAGACGCTAATCTAACGTTGAATGCTTCCAGCACCTTCTGAGGTTATCCTTAGATGTTACTGCCTTGTGTGGAAATGACAGTTGTGCCAAGCAACTGATAAAAACTCTCGCTTAGCCGACAGTAAAACATCTTGCTGATTGGTTAACCTCTGAAGGCCTCGTAATCAGTTGACGGGCTTTTGTATCAAAAGCGACTCGTTGCCATGGCGTAAGTCTACCACCTGTTTTCGAAATTTCCTGAAACAGATAAATATCCTCATGACATACTTAATCGTAAGCAATCAAGTGAATAGTCTTCATACGAACGTAGTCAAATGACCACCTGGTTATTCATCACGTACATATTAATAGTTCAATTAATTTCCTTGAATTTCGCAAAATAGTTTGAAGGTCACCGTGAACAAACAGGGAGAACCAAACTCAGGTTTTATATTGTAGTTTTTCGACACCTGGACAGGAAAATATTTTATCCTATGCTTCTTCGGGGGTAAGGTAAGAGAATTTTGGGACGTGAAAGCCGAACAAAAAAACTAAAAAAAGCTTGACATTCTGCACTAGAAAAGCATCCACCTGTTGGGATACGACGGCAAATGACAAGGGACTATCGAAGTTATTTACTCCTGATCAAGTTAGCCGGAGACTTCAAGTGAAATATCATTAGCTCAGTCACGAATCACTGACCTGCTCGCGCCTACTAACTTCTCGCTCCATGCTTCTAGGATCTCCTTAACCGGTTGCGGATAGTCCAATTCAGAACTCAGATGGACAGCCTGTGGATGAGTTCCCGCGTAGCGTTCTGCCAACTCTGCTCATAGGCATGCAAACATTCGCACTCAAACAAGCAGGTCAGTCGAGTTGATGATCAATCATGGCAAAAAGCCCTAAAATGATGTCTTGGAAACCTCAACCTGAGAAAGGGAATCGCTTTGGAGCGCGATTTTCGTGCCCTCCATTAGCCTTTTTCAATAGTTTGTTGGTTTCACTGTAGTAGGACATAGAGCAGTCATAAAAGTCTTACAGACGGCCATCTTTAGCAAACAATCGTTCCTATCAAGTCAAATCAAGTCAACAAGCCAAAGGTGACCACAGGGAATCTCTGCAACTCTCAAAAAGGCTTGTCGGCGAATTGATGTGTAGGTGTGCAACCAGTGTACGAGGTCACAGTATGTCGGATTAGGCACATGCTGGAACTGTGATAACGATGTGCTACAACACTGATACTACTGATGGGGGGCATGCGAGTAGTATGTTTTCTCGCAAATCCGCTCTGCGTCTCTTGAAAAGGGAGATTTATTACAGAATTTTCGGAGTCGCTTTGTAGCCGTTGCTTGCACTTGAGTAACAGTCAATGAATATCCAGGAAAGCTCAGGAAGACACGTTCAAAGAGAAGATGGGTATGCAGTTTTTGTAAACAAGATGCATATGAGAGTTTTGCTTCCCTGTCCAATAGTCTGTAACTGTTTAATTGGCATTCTCTAATAAATAACTCCGCAGCGAAGGCCTTCTTCCTTTCAATGGTGCGCCGGGTTAGGCACATGCTTGAACTGTGATTCACAGATCCACCGTAAAGACGTATGACAGTGGCGTCTTCCATGGTGATACGATAACACCTGGATGGTGCTCCTTGACTTCAAGAAGGTTTTCTATTATGTCGACCGGTTGGTTCTTTTCAACACTATTCATCATTCCTAGTGACCTACCTGTTGGCGTGTGAGAGTATAGGGAAGCTCTTGAAAGGCTTCCTTACAAGTAGTGGTGTCCGGGAAGGATGTCCACTCTCTCCATTTTTGATTATTTTCGTTGTGGATGACATACCCCAGTGTTCACATCTATCCGACCGATAACCTTATTCATCAGGAGTACGCAGATAACATTTTTTCCTTTTTTTTCTGAAAATTCAAGCAATGACACCAGAAGTTGTGGAACACTACACGTGTCTTGGGAGTTGCGTTAGCCCTGAAGGTAGTGGTGACAGACGAAGTGAACGTATGAATGTCGAAGGTCAGAATTGTGTCTGCTAATTTGCACCACTTGCAGAGTCGAAAAGGAATCTCACTGGACTTCAAAAGATGCAGACTACAGCACGGGCTGTCTTTTTGCACGGCTGCGAGACTTGGCTATTTCGGGTGATGGATCTCAGACATCCTCAGGCCTGTGACCACCGCTGTCTCAAAATCGACTGGAATCGGTAAGCCTGCAATGAAGTTATCAGGAGAGGGGTTTCCGATGAGACAGCGGTTGCTGCCATCAATAATTTCATCCAGCACTGCGAACTTAGGTGGTGAGGGTCGTGTTGTACGCACACCGAGTTACCGCCTGTCCAAACAATTTTTATTTCCCGGGACCATTTCGGAGTGGCGGAAACCCCATGTCGGATGGAATTCGATACGACAGATGAGGTTACGAAAGCTTTGGGCGATGTCGCTGCTGTTCACCCTCCAGGATAGGATCCACGTGACTTTCCTTGATCTCGGCTGCAGACACTGAATAATATGACGATTAACTGGGGTGAGTGGCGTTCGTACTGTTAGTTTCTATGATGACTGTGTGACTGAATGCTGGACTTGTAGGCACCTCGGATGTAGCCCTGTGTCCTTCCATCTCTTTGTTTTTTTCCGATCATGAGCCTCTATTGAAATAAATTGGTTGTACTGCAGTAAAGTACTGGTGATCGGACCTGGTGTTGCTGTTGATGATGACTTCGATGGCGTCCTGACTGCAGCCCAGCTGAACGATGACAGCCAACACGGACCTATCGCTTCTCACTGCCTTGCTTGCCCAAATTTGTGCCTAATACACCCTCTCATCGCTCTCCGACCAACAAATACTACTGACATGATACCTTTGAAAAGACTTTGTTGTCCAACGAATTTGTTGTGGCTGCTAATAGACTACTTTGCTGTCTGACCGGGTCAGACAGGAGAACAAAACAACCGACTGGGAGACTTGTGTGTGTGTGTGTGTGTGTGTGTGTGTGTGTGTGGAGGGGGTGGGAGTTGCAACCGACTGGCAAGCATAACTCAAAGGAAATACAATGTGGATCAGTAGTGCATAACGGGCAATTTGTGTGGACAACAGGCCAGATAAAGCAGCTAATAGGCACACAGAGGTTCGAAAACGCAAATACGGGCGCGTATGAGAGCTCGCCACGTACTGCCTGTTACAGAATCTTGCAATACAAACACTCTGAGTGTTATAATCAGCAGTTCATTGGACTAACATTATCAGAGTTTGACGTAGGACAGAACTGCTCTTTTCCTTCGAGATGCTTTTTGTTGTAGCGACGCAATTCTATAGGGGCCCCTAATTTTGGCATAATTTGCTTTTCCAGACATATGAACCAAGACTTTGTTCGGCAGTGTCAGTAGGCTAATCGTCAGGAAGCACTATCAATAGTCGATGGTTGCTTAATGTTTGCTGAGAGGGTGATTGTACCAGAGGTCCTCCGACAAAGGGTAGTCAAACAGTGGACACCCAGGATTGAGCCGAATGAAATCATCGGCCAGAAGCTACGTTTATTGGCCCGGCATGGACAAGGATTTGGAGGACCATTGCCGAACTTGTCCCCGATGCATTCAAGTTGCCAAGACGCCTCAACGAGATGAACCACACGATTGGCCTACGCCCGAGGCGCCATGGCAACGGCTACATGTGGACTTTGCGGGTCCGATCGACGGTCTGTATCAGCTGGTAATCGTAGACGCCTTCACGAAGTGACCAGAAGTCTTCTGCATGCGCAAGGCATCGACCGAAGCTACCATTGCCAGACTGCAGAAAGTATTCAGCTGTTTCGGGTTACCTGATACAATGGTGACGGACAATGTTACGCCG